ATGATCGATATCAAATAGTGAACGGCTGAAACGTTCAGTTAACGATGGGCTCTCCCGCATTCGATTACCCCCTCCCCCCCCATTTGTCGCGGAAAACCGAAACTCAAAACTAATCATAAGCACATTTGATGTGAGTCTTCGCATGTAGCCGCCTTCAGATGACTTGCTGGAGCCAAAGCGCTGCTGAATATTTTTTCATAGATCAAATAATAACTTAGCAAAATTAGCCATATCTCTAAAACTAGCATGCTTTGTAAGGGAAAGAGGCAATTAGCTCTACAGTTTTCCTCATCAAATGTGAACGAGAATCACTGTGGCCTTACAACTTCTCGTGGGATACTGTAGGTTTTTTGCGAACTTCAAAGGCAGTTTTATCAAATTGTCGTGTCACTTGCTCTCAGGTAAAGTTAGTTGGGGACATAGTTACAGCCTACCAATCCTGCGCTTTACAAGCTCATCTCTTTACTAGACTCAACTCTCAATGCGTTGCTTGACACCTAGTCAGCTGCTCACTCGTTTTATAAAAATTCCTGGCGCTACCGCAATATACGGGAGCATCCTCTAGGTCTGAGCCTAGAAGTGGGTAGGAATCTCGGGAAGAATGGAAACGACTAACGCACACTGAAGTTTCTCCTCCCCTTCCTAAAGCTTAGACTCGTTATCAAAAAAGACATGTTTTACGCGATTGTAAATGAATTGCTATCACAGTGCCCCCGTATCTTGCGATAGAGCCAAATTCCCTCTGAAGTACATTACGATTCGACTCAGATCTCACATATGTCAATCTAGAAGTCTAACCTGCGAAAATCCCCATTTCCGAAGCTCAGAGCTTGGTGCAGCATGCGATAACACGATGCCTCTCTTTGAACCTCTGAGAAGGAAAATTTCTGAAACCAACCTGATGTGTGTATTTCATGTACGTCGTATCCATAGTTATTGACAGCTGTGCCTCCTGAGACATCTGCAAATTCGACTCGCTGGCCAGAGGTATTCAATCGACTGCCAGAAGTATCGAGACGGCTGGCAGGTGGTTCGATGTGTTGGCCGAAGTCTAAAGAAAAAAAAAAGATTTTTCACTCTATGAATCGATGTTACCTAAAGGCACATCCTACGACCAAGATGATGTGATAATTTAACTCGAAAATAAATGAGTTTATACAGAGTAGGCCCGAAAATTCCCTGTTTTGTGCTGGGGAGAACTCTAAGATGCAGGTAGCGAATTTAAAAACAGATGCTCGGTAAGGAGAGTGGAAGAAGTCAATGGAATTTCTTAGTTACGGACTAACGATGACACACACATGGGAGGTGCTACAGTAATGTGTGGCCGCGTGGAAGGGAACACGCAGGCGTGTTCAACAGCATCCAGTCTTGCGAACCCCGTAACGCTTTGATAGCGCACTTTAAATGACGTAAAAATTTATACCTTGTGAGGATTTCTACATTCGAGCTATTTGCGGATGAGCGCTTCAAAGGAAACATGCGTTACGTTCAAGTTATCTTGACACAGGCATACCTAGTACTCTAGGAAAGAAGAAAATTATTGAGCTTACACATAAATTTCTCCTATGATTCCTCCTTTTCGAAGATTAGATGGATCTGGTTAGATTAGATGGATGAAGCGCTGTAGCGGCAAGTGGCACGCTTACCACGTGTGCGGTCGGAGATCAAATCCCGTGTGTTCGTAATTCGTTTACAAGCCAACCCATAGCCTGGCCAATCCTCCAGGGGTCGGTTAGTTTGGACCAGATTCGGTCTGGGAAATTTTTTATTTTTAAAACAAAAACTGGTCTTGTAGCATCTGCTGGCCCCCGCAGGCGTCATTGTTACTAGGCCACATCGCATTCAATGTAGAAATGTAGAATGTTAGAAATGGAAGTAGAGTGGCGCTGCCCGCATCCCAAGACTCGGAAATGATCAACGATAAAGCTTATCCTTTTTCCCCTTTATGTCGCTCAAACTCACTGGCCGAGGTGTGCAGAAACGAGGGTTCACGGCTGACATCTCGTTCTCCAGTTGAACTCATACCTGAACTGATTTCATTCAGAGGTTTCCGACTCAATTCGTGACACTTCACTTACCTCCGCTCAAGTGGAACCTCTCTGGAACCGAAGCTTTGTAGCGGTTGCTGTGGCGCTTGCTGTTACAGATGGCAGTTGAAACTGAATATGACCTTCTATTTGTGAGTGTTTCCTAGAAAAATAGCCGTCGAAACGAACTCCCTGATCCGACGGGCCGTCGTCCCTCTTCGACGATTCGATGCTCGATCACTTCGATCTGCTCGATCGAACGTGGGCGTCGCTCCATTTGTGGGAGGACAATATGAAATGTCTACTAAAATTTTGTCCGTCCTCTATCTGAAATTCACAAATTGAAGTCACATTGGCTATGCTCGACATCCGACATTACTCGATCAAAATCAAGATAAAAACTCGTTTCGCGACAAGAAATGGCCACTTCAACGGTCACTTTCAAGCAAAATGCAAGAACTATATTCGTAACAGTGAACTAAAGGTTGTAGTATTGTAAAAAGTGCTCTGAGAAGGATTCATAAAAAGAAAAAAAAAACCCCAAAATAATATTCAATCGGATTGCGGAAAATGAAAGGCTTTAATATATTAGGTCGGTCCACAATTTTTGAGAACCTTTGGTGTTTTTCGATTTATTACTTATCTTATTTCTCTGATCTACTTATCCAGCATAGTATACATCATTATTATTAACAACATATCGCCAATGCGAGGGTGGGTATTCAGTGCCTCTCTTGTGGACTTTCATAGAGTTCTGATCGAAGGAAAATTGTAGTCCCGAATCAGTTCTCAACCCAATCCGACATCATCAAGTTCCTGTTGGTTTCCTATAGTTCCTTCGGATGACCATCTATAATACTCATTGGTGATGTGGACTGGGTGCAATGTGCTAACAAATCCACGAGCCGCAGTAGATTTGCTCAAACGATTCGGGAGTTCTGACAGTAAACAAACCCAACTCCCTCTGAATTCGAACTTCCTGAGTCGTTGGCGCAATACGGGAGGGCCTTTGCGCTGAAGACCGGCATCAACTAATACCAGTGTCAGTGATGGGAAGAATCGTTGACAGCTTGATGGCAACGCCTTCAACTTGAAAGCAAAGGAAGACAAAATCTATTTTTCTCTGAGGTCGTTCGAGCCCGCCTTGCTAAGAAAATTCCTAAAAAATTGGAGACTCTCGGGCGGTCAGTTCTTTTAGCTCCGCCTTATAGCACTAATCCTGCGTCAACGAACGACTATCCGCTCTCCTCTCTCAATCACCTTCTGGAGAAGAAATCTCACTTGAATCACCATAAAGTCAAAATCGACATCCAATATTTCTTCGATCAGAACTCTATGAAATTCTACAAGAGAGACACTGAATACCCACCCTCGCATTGGTTATATGTTGGTAATAATGGTGATGTATACTATGCTGAATAAATACATCAGAGAAATAAGATAAGTAATTAAGTCGAAAAACACCAAAGGTTCTCAAAAATTATGGACCGACCTAATATGTTATATTTTCACATGAAAATACTTTTGTGGGAAACAAAAAGTGCGTTTGAGTTGAAAGTTTTAAAAGGATAAATTTTCCCTAAAACGCTAGTTTTATACACGTAGAGGAGCGGAAAGGCGTGGGAGAGTTAACAATTCAGAAAGTCTTCCCTGCGAGTCCGCCAGTGAAGAAAGTACGATGAACGATTGGTCTCTTTTCCTTTCAGAAAATTAAAAGCCGGCAGCAGGTTGACGGTGGCAGGGGCCTCGGCTATGATATGATGCAGGGTCGGTTTTAGTTTCGCGATTGCTACGTTCGTGTCCTTGCTAGTACTGCTTCCAGGCGGTTGATTTCGAGGACTGGACTAAGTAGGGCGTGAAGTGGCCCACCTTAAGGTTGTGATGGCCTGTTCGGATCTCGAATTACAGGTATGATAGTTTGAAGGCGGGTTTTGCGTGCGGTAGTCACGAATTACTTTTTGGTGTGATCCTTCAGACTCTGGAGAAGGCGCATCCCGCTGGAAACACAGCAAATAAAGTCTACATAACAATTCATCCAGCATACCACACATTAAAATTTAAAAGCGGAAAAGGACATGACTTTGATGCTCACTTCCTCTTTGGAGTGCCACACCGAGGCCACGTTTACTATATCATTCAAATTTAACTGTTATCAGGCAATGTTTGGGTCAATGACTTAATAAGGGGGCCAGCCGATGTGCATAGAAAAGGAGAAGACGATAGATGTAGGTCAACCGATCTCAAACGAACCACTTCCATAGATCAGCTCTTGATAGTGTTTGTGTCCTCCTAAACATTTCTGGCAATAACTACCTGAACCCGGAGGAGTGAAAGGCGCTTTGGTTACTTCGGGAAGCGTCCGATCCGAGGATTTGTGGCGCCAGGTGTTGATATTTCTAAGCGCGATGCCACATAGAGCGGTTTTGGCTACACTAGGGTGGAACAGTATCTCTTCGGGAGGTCTTTCGAGAAATGTTGAAACCACTGCTGTCATAGAATCATATGAAAATGTTGTAGGTGACCCGAAAATGAACTCAAAGTCGGCGAAGATGATTTGTTGTCGTGCACCTCTTGTTGTCTAGTGCAACGCCCGTTTGAATCCAATGCCGAAAAATGTAAGCCCCATTTTTCTTCAGCGTCGCGATTTGAAAAAACGCCTGAAATTGCAAAGTCGTGGGGTTGAGTGCTATTCAAAGTTGCACATGTTCCATGAATGAATGAATCAGGCGAGTAAGGTGACCCGCATTCACGAGGTTCAATTGATTGGTAGATGAAAAGGAGGTCGGAAAACACGATCAAGCATGCTTAGAAAGTGACCTTGATGCTAACCGTTTCAGCCTCTCGGGAACAAACCTACGCCCGTGGAAGGCAAAACACTGAGCAAATACTTGATCGGTGAATTAGCAGCGTTTTATGGGGTCGTTTGATGTTGAAAAGAGAGCCTGCATAACGGAAATAGCCACGCGCGCATTGGTGAAGTACGGTGAAGAATAGCTATACTTCATGAATAAAATTTTCGCTCACCCTTCTGAACTTTCCTAAATATGTACCCAAAGGCAGTAAAGCATATGGGACCACTTGATACGCTTCGCCGGTTACTAGCATCGAGGAGCTCATTAGCTTTATGATTTTATTGACAAAGTGATTTAGTGGGAAGTCGTAGCAGTGCTTAATGTGGTGCACCTTCGGGAACGTAATGGGTAGTTTTGAATTCCGGTCTGCCTCAGTAAAGGAATGCACCTGATGGGTTGTCTTATTGAAGGCCACGTAGGGGCGAGCATGGCCAGAGTAGCACATCTAACCATGAGTCAAATTCCAAGGAAAGAAGCACTTATCCGTTTTCAAAGGGTGCTCAGCGGATTTCATTGCTGTTACTTCTTGCCTACATGAACCTGGGCGCACAAACCAACAGTGTCCCTTACTATGCGCGCACTCCGGAGATGAGATCCGACCAGACCGACCGAGCCTTTCATCCTTCTGGGGTCGCTTAATTGGTACCGGACTCACTGAAAAAATGCCCACTCGCTTGTATATCGAATGGTTTCCGATCTTCACTAGTGCCTGTTCCCGTTCAAATGGCCCAGAAATTCAGAATGAACGTCCGATGTGTGGCGTAACTCAAAACTGATCAATAAACGTCAAACGCTTTATCGCTATTCAGTTCGAGTTTTTATTTACTGCTCAAATCCCCCGTGGACATGTTTAGCACCACAGTTGCAGCGTTGCCTAATAAAAAAAGTTGAATAATCAGCTCGAATCCTGAAGAAAACAAGTCGAGGTTTTTACGTAGGTCACCAGAGGTGCAAAGAGTTTTGTAATGGGTAGCACCTCGAAAACTGGCGTAGACCATTCGTTCGGTAATAAACACCGAGAGAGTCTATTTGTGATTTTAGATATAATGGTCGTACATGGAGGAATGAGCAATCCCCTTCACCTATCCAGGAATTTTTGGGCTGAAAGGTAAGTTTGAGATAGAATTACTTTAGGTTAGCAAAGGGAGGACTAGGAATCATATAGTTACTCCTTCCAGTAGCAGGGGTACTCCTTGTGGGTGCATACTGCACCAAAAATTTTCCAGGGACTGCCCTCCCCTCTCACTGCCTTACGTCTTACGGGATAAGCATGACAAAGGCGATGTGGCAGACATCAGACATGGGAAATCAGATCAATCAAGAACTCAACACTTGAGATTATAATGTGATTCTTCTGCCAACGAGGTTGTTAGGTTTCGACAAGATCGTCTCCCTCAAAGGCCCAGTCCACGTCAGGCCACTAATAAAGTTCCACCTAACAACCTCGTCGGCAGAAGAAACACATTATAATTAGAACAATGCCGAGGTTCTATGAAGAGAGAAGTTGGAGTCTGTTTATCAACACTTGAGCAACAAACAAGAACAAGTTGTTTAAAAAAAGGATAAAGCATTTGCCGTTGATCAATCCCTTTTTGGGATGCGGCACGCATTCTACTTCCATTTGTACATTCGTAGTGGCGTTTGAATGCGATGTGGCCTATACAATGACTTGCGGGGGCCAGCCGATGTACAAGTCAGTGTTTTTATCCTCCCAGACAAGTCTGGTACCAATTAACCGACCCCGGAGGGATGGAAGGCTTGGTTGGCCCGGGCGACTCACGACCCAGGATTTGATCCCCGGACCGCTCGCGTGGTAAGCGTGCCACTTGCCACTACACCACTTCCGCCCTAGAACAAGTTTTACCTTAGAACAATCTGGTTGATTCACATGACCCCACCCAGCTTTCATGTCGGGGTCTAGGTTCTCATCTCAAAGAGGCTCCTTCGAGAAAAATGAAGAACCTCCGGTAATCTATCAAAAACACCATAGTCAACATAGTGGAATTTGAAGGCGGATTTTACGATTAAAAGGCAGCCCATTAAGATTGAAGTTGAAGATAGTCAATGAAATTCGAGAATAATGGGTCTAGAACCCGGAAAAAACTGAGACCCTTCCTTGTCCTTTGATTAATTGCACAATGATCGACTCTGTCGGTTGTTTACCCGTCTCTCGACGTTAACGCTCTCATCTTGCTAAACGACTAGGACGTCAAACCAAAACGACGCGAGAGTAGAGGATGGAGGCGTACTTGGAGCCAGTAGGCGAGTTAGTGCGGCCAATCGGGACGCACGAGAAAGGCACATGTCAATCGGCCCAGGGCATCTTCTCGTTGTGAATTGGTTCGGGTCCGCACCCCCATTCGGAGTGTTAGGCTACCTTCTCCCCTTTTCGAACCTTTCTTCCTTATCGTAGAATTCTCCTTCAGGGTTGCATAATGACAAATGACAATTTCGAACGAAACTGAGATGAAATTT